CCAGAAGTCGTAGGTGGTTGAGACACTGCTCGTCAGACACCTACATAGGTCAAGACAGTCCCATAAGCAACTATCTCGACTCTTGCACAGATAACGAGAATTATACTTAGTTGAATCACCTCGACTAAGAAACTCATGGAAGTTGTGGAGTTGGAACATTAGGACGACTCCTAGACTCGACCAACCAATTAAATAATCTTATAAAAGCAAAAAATGAAATTTTGACATAAAAACGGGGTCAACAGGTCAAGCAATTGTCAACAAGCCAAAAACGATTAAAAAGGACTAGTTCAAAATAAATTGAATGAGACCATAAGGGGTTAGGCTTGGACTTTATAGTTCAAATTTTTACAGCATATAAATGGCTGAAAATCACACATTTTCACCAAAGGAAAACCCCCAAACATGCTCCTAACCGTTTTAAATAATTCAAGCAAAAATTGACCATAAAACGAATTAAATTAATTAAAATAGCTACAGTTCGAATTTGACTTTGAAATTTTTACAGTAGCAAGAAAGCATGAAGAACAGTAACATATCCGAAAATTAGCCATTTTGGACAGGAACTCTATTTTTCATGAATTTATTAAGAAACAACCCAAAAATAGTTTTCGAGTTTGGACAAGGCTACTGGCCATATAAAAATCTCATATTTTAACCACAAGTACTACAACAGCAACATTACAACATATCCAAAAATCAGAATGTTTGGAGCAATACACGAATTATAGTGATTTTAGCAAAAACAGGCTGCATCACGATTTTTAAAAACTCATAACTCACTTAATACACATCGAAACGACACAAGGCCAAAGCCGTTGCGTCAAGGACATTCCTAAGTCCAAACTTCCACAACATTTCCACGGGAAGTAACATATTAACCTCAGTTTGACAATTTTTCAAAGTGACGGCAATCACTTTGATATTCAAATGACAATTAAATACATCAATAATTCACAATTATTATCTAGGGCACGAAATTAATCCGAAACTCAAATGTTCAGCAACAATAACACATATATGAGCACTTAAACACATATACGAACGAAATAATTAATTCGAGGGATAGCCCGGGTACTGTTCTCGGGACGGGCTACGAATAACGAACAACGAAACGAACGGCGCGAGGGGACAATTGGCTCGACGACTTCGTTTCATCTCGCGGAGGAGGAGGAGCGGCTGACGGGGCCCGTCAGGAGGTTGCTGGTTCACGGCGAGGGTCCCGGCAGAGGATGGACTCACCGGAGGGTTGCTGATGGCTCGTTGCTTCGGTCGACGGGGCCTCGCACGATCAGTTGTCACGCGGGACAGCGAAGGCTTGCGAGAGCTTCTTACGGTGGCCTGAGGACAGCAACGCGAGCGGAC